AGTGTCTCTGTATGCTGGTTTGTGTGTTCTCCAACACAACTCTCACAACGCTTCGCTGAACATACTCGCTCTCCCAACGGGGAGCTTACCTAACATGCACTAACAGAGATGCTACAATGGTCGTAAGTGTGAGGACCAGCCGTAAGTCACTTTTTTCAGTGCCATTGTAACTTCAAATGGTCGCTAAAAGAATCGTCGTTAAGTCGAGGACTACTTGTATAGTAGAATTGCTTCCCCCCCCCCCCAATACTCTCTGTAAAATGTCTCTCTTCTGCCAAGGATTATTTCTCTACCAAAGGCAACCGAATAATGGGAAGACAGTCAACTCCCTTCTCAAGCTCTTTACAGGGGAAGATTTAGAAATCTGAGCAAGTCCCTTTGGTTTTGCCTCTCTAGGCTCTGAAATCAACAACAATAACCACAACAACACCACCTTAGGAAATTTGTGCGGCTCATCGCTCTGCAGATTTTACCTTGTGAAAGGCACTGATTCGCCAGAGCAACTTGTCCAGAATGCAGGTATAAATTGAGACGGATAAAAATGCCAGTCAGTGATGGGATCGTTATGAAGCAGAAGGCAACACAAGCCTAAAATTAGAAAAGGACAGTTTCTGTAAATCGGCCACAACCAGGTTTCTGAGATTCAGACTTCAATATTTAATGTTAACCCTATTAAGAATATTTTTTAAATATATTTTATTCATTAGGTTTATGGGCCACCTATCTTATTCTGCAAAACCACTCTTTTATTTTACCTATAATGCAATATAAACAACATAGCCTTATATTTAATGTGATAAATGTACGAGCCAAACAAGAAACCTGTTGATGAAGTTTCCGCAGGTCTTTTAAATGGTGGATTCAGTCACTGGAGGGGAATTAAATCAGACTGAGATCTTTTCGCTTACAAGGAATCATCAAGCCAAGATTTAGGGCTAGTTCGCAACCACCAATTGTTTCATGTCTGCACTTACCCTGACGAATGCCGCAGTTTTTCTGGAATGATTCCCTTTCATTACTTTTCTTGTTTCCATCGCCAGCTGATTCACGCTCTGTTTTGGAAGATAAGATTACCGATGTGAACAAGTCTTCATCCAGCCTCTTACGGACTTGGTAGTTTCTTGATTGCCCAAACACTTCCATATAAACAGAGAGCAAACCCCACTCCCTTCTAGCACTGATGAGGTAACCTAGTTGGGTAATGAAATGTCTGTAGAAAACAATCAAGCTCAGAGAACACTAAGGATCTCCCATTTCCACCTCGTTGAGCTACAAATATCCCTTATCAATACCAAGAGCACTTCATGGGATAAAGTAAAGGTTCCCCTTAAACATATGTGCTAATTGTTCCCAACTCTAGGGGGCGGCTCATCTCCGTTTCAAAGCCAAAGAGCCAGCACTGTCCGAAGACATCTCCATGGTCATGTGGCCGGCATGACTCAATGCCAAAGGNTGTTGCAAAGATGTTATGTTTGGGTAAACAAAAATAAAAAGTAAAAAAAAAAAAAAGAATTATTTTTAGTCCTCCCAACCTCCTGCAAAGAAGACAGCAAGTGAAGCTGCGGAGGAAACAAACGCACCCACGGATTATCAGGGCGGGAACGACAACAACAACAACAATGAAGCCATCACAGCTGGCGAGTGCTGAAAAAGTGACTTCATGCTGGCTTGTTTACCCATAAATACAACATGTCCCTCCCTGACTGAAGCTATTGTTTTTAAAAATGCGCCTGGATGGTACAGTCAGCATTACTTTAAACCCCTCCGGTTCTCATGATGCCTGCCAAATGGCACCTGAACAAAAGGAAGCCACAGCTTTGCAGGAAAGGACTTAGTCAGTGTCCCACATCAGCTTGTTTGTCTTTTACAGCTGGAATTTTCTCGCAAAGTGTGCTACGCTGACAACATTTGTCACTGGCCTGAATAGGGCAGGATCCAATTCTCCTTTGCAGAGGCCAGGAACCGTCTAAATTGTGCACAATAATCCTGGGGCCTTGCAGCTTTCTCTCTCTCTCTCTGTCCATCCCTCATCACAACACAACCCTGATTCTAATAGAGAGAACTAATCTTTTTTTTTTTTATAAATTGAACTGAAATCTTTTATTTTTCTTCCAAGGATTCCAACCCACCGGTTTCTACAGAAAACAAACAAACCCTGCTTTGTCCATTCTTTGAATCTCTCCCTTTCAGACAAGATAAAAGGAATAATTATTACCTTTTGGGTTGTTTCCTATAATATTTGCAGGTTTATTATTCCCTCTCCCCCGGTTTTGCAGCTTTCCCCCCCCCACAAAAGAATCGGTGGGGGAGAGGAACAAGATAGGCTGCTAGAAAGAAAGATGCTTTTTGCACTGCTTCTGAATGGACAACGGCATGAGAAAATTTAGAGGGGGTTGAGAAAAGAGAGTGTTTTAATTAGGGAAATGCCGATTTCTCTCTCCTCTTTATCTGTCTGCAAGGGACATGGTGTCTTGTGGTTTTGTTTTTAACATCTTGTCCAAAACGCAGTCCTATTTTTTTCCTTCTCTTAGTTTCCCACTATTTTCATTTTTTTGTTTTTTACCGTCTGCTAAACTAATACAAATGTTCAAACTGTAAAATGCAGTCACATTTAATCATTTGTTCAGTTGCATTCACAGAATAGAATAGAATAGAATAGAATAGAATAGAATAGAATAACAGAGTTGGAAGGGACCTTAGAGGTCTTCTAGTCCAACCCCACCTAGGCAGGAAACCCTATAACTAAAAAGAAAATATAAAAGGCACAACCCTTATATCTTTGTGACTGGGTCATTCTATTTTGGAGTTGTTCCCTGCTGTGTATGATTTAATAGTCCTTGACTTACAATCACAATTGGGACCAGAATTTCTGCCCCTAAGAAGGACAGTTGTTATGCGAGTCTTGCAGTTGTTAAAGCAAATCCGATTTCCCCTACTGACTTTGCTTGTCGGAAACCAGTTGGGAAGGCCGCAAACACATGACCCTGGGACAACACAACCATTGTAAAAAGATTCCAGTTGCCAAGCATTCAAATTTTGATCAGGTTGTTAGGAATATAATCTAACGGTTGGGTTGGCAATATATAAACCAT